GTGTAAGAAATGTATCCCATTGGCTGTCAAACTCCCAGGGGCCGGGGTCTTAGCTAACTTTGTCTGGACCACATGGCTTCACTTGACTGCTGGCTGATGCAATCTTCCTAGGCCAGATGGTGAGATGGGCAAAGGCCTTTGTTATGTAGAATATTCTGGCCAAGGCCTTAATGGCCCACCCATTAACAAAGGGGTGTGTGTGTGAGCTTCTGCCTCTCTTGAGTTTCTACTTCCCTTTTTGGGGAAATATTCTGCCTTTTAAATATTTCCTAGGATATTTCATTATTCTAGGAGGGGTGGGTGCTAACTTCCTATAAACCAAGATTCTTTTGTTTGCTAAAAAGGAGCCCTGGATTAAGGGTTTGGTACTATTGTGTCCCACTGTTGGGAGAAATATCCTTCTGGGTTCATTTCCAAGTGGGGAAAAAGATACTGGAAACATGGAGGCTGTTTGGAAGGTTTAATGGACAGGACCACATGGCCTGGAGCTCCAGAGTGAAAAGGAAGATCACATGCTTCAAGGTGAAGGAGGAGATCAAGAAAAAAGGACTGAGGTGCTGAGAGTGCCTGGGTTTTATACCCTCTGTTGGGATTTGAATTGGAGCTTGTATTCTAATTGGTTGTCAGACCCCCCATGGGGCCATGCAGGGGCAACTGTGTAGGCTGTCCTGAGTTCCAGGCTTGGTTGAGCCTTGCTGGATGATTATGCCCTTAAAAGGGCTTTTGGCTATAGCTTTACCTGGAGATCTTTGTTATGTAAAGTATTCTGGCCCAGGCCTTAATGGCCCACCCATTAACAAAGGTGAGGGTGAGATTAACAAAGGTGAGGGTGAGCTTCTGCTTCTGAGGTGAGTTTCTGCTTCTGAGTTTCTACTCTTTTTAGGGGAAATATTCTGCCTTTTTAATATTTCCCAGGATATTTCAATTTTCTAGGAGAGGGGTGGGTGCTAACTTCCTACAGCCCTTAACTCTCCCTCCCAAAAAAGGAGGCCAGGATGGAGGCAGAGTGATAAGTGGTCAATTTAAGAACTTGGGCATCTTTGAAATACCAGCATGTAGAAAGTTAGCACCCATCCCTCTCCTAGAAGAATGAAATATTGTAGGAAATATTAAAAGGGCAGAATATTATATTTCCCTGGATGAGAAAAGGAGAAACATGTTTTAAAGACAAAGCACCTTCCTGCAGCGCCCCACCCCCCCTTCAGCTCCAGGGCGATGGGATTAAGACATGGCCCTCAGGAAATGATAGGATTACCCATCTCACCATATGGCACCTGGGAAGATTATATCACCCAGCAGGATTCAACCAAACTTAGCACACAAACGACCTACAAAGCTAACTATGACCCTTGACAGCATCCAGTCAGGATATTCTTCCTGTGCTCCAGGAAGTTCAAAGCTTAGAGAGGGCATAAAACCAAGGGACTCTCAGCATCTCCTGCTCTTTTCGCTCAGGAGCTCCAAGGCATGTACTCCTGTCCACCATTAAACCTTCTTTCCAAGCATCTTCCATGAATCCAGTGTCTTTTCCCCCACTTGGAACTGAACCCGGAAGGATATTTCTTCCAACAAATATGAATATCAGCTTGACAGCAGATAGTAGTTCAAGGGGCTAGTCTTGAAATGTTAACCCTGATTTTCCTCCCCAGTACCATATTAAACATGGAAACAAGCCAATAAAACAAAAGAAAACAAGGAACAAAAATCCTCATGTGGTTTCTGTTGTTTTTATAGGGAAATATGTAAATGTTGTTAAGATCCCTTAACCAGGAAGTGCAGAGGCAGCAAGGAAGATTGGGCTGTGACCATCAACTTTAAGAGGCTGACTTGTATATTTCGAACTGCTGTGTAGATTTATGCATAAAGGCATTTATTTTGTCATTTTATGAATATTAAGTGAATGAGTCTTAAAGACAAGATCTATGCTTGAAGTGCTTATTATAGCGGCTAAGGTACAAAGTTTAGGTTTTGTTTTATTTTTTTAAAGGCAGGTGGAATTTTCACCATCTGCATTAGTCAAATTCAGTAGTTGGAGGTATTTGCAATACAAAGAGGAAGTACCATATCTATTGGAAAAAAGTGATAAGCTGAAGAAACTCAAAATAACCTCACTTTGACAGTGTTTATTGTAATACCAACAGAAAAACAGCTTTTCAAGACTGATGCCAGCCTTTTGATGGAGGCCAGGTCAAGAAAAGACACCAATGGGATTTCTGAAATGCTAAATTAGTATTGTAAGATGGCACTGAAGGCAGCAACAGCAGGGACCCAAAGCTATCTCCATGCCATGGAAAGGCAAATGCTCCATTGGATATTGGCCATCTTCCTTCTTGACCACATCACAAATGACACCATTCAAAAACATTTTGGTGTGGCACCAGTTACAGAGGAGATGAGAGAAGACAATTTTTTTTACTACCTGTTCTGTGGGGGGTGGCTTGTTGGGCGTGGCAGGGGAAGGATCCTGTAAAATCTCTAGTCAGAGGTGATATTTGCTGGTTCTCTGAACTACTCAAAATTTCCGCTACCGGTTCTTCAGAAATGGTCTGAATCTGCTGAATACCACCTCTGTTTGCACCGTTGCCAGGACAGCCTACCAACTAGAAGTCAATGGTCAGCGACCTTGTGGGCGTCCAAAACAGAGATGGCAAGACACTATCAACAAAGACATGCAAGCTGCGGGCCTGCGCCCTGGAGATGCACCTGACCGTGCAAAGTGACGTTCAATTATCTGAAAAGCGGACCCTGCATCTGCGGGAATAAGCTAGGAAGAAGACATTAGTGTTGTGGGATATAGTAACTGAATCTTGAAATCTTTTCCAAGTTTCCTGTCTGTCTGTCTGTCTGTCTCTCCCTGTCTCTCTCCCTGTCTCTCTCTCTCTTATCTCATAACCAAATAAAATCATGGTGATATTGACTTTCATATTTTCATTTTTAAATTCCTTTTACAAAGAATGAATTTGAAAGCAAGAAGCTCTTATTTTCATGCCAAACACCCATTGGTTCATTCAACTAGGCCAGTGTTCTTAATTTGTAAAAACCAGATATAAATTAACACAACCAGCTGGATTAAAGCAATTCTAAACAATAAAATGGGTGGTTGAGTAGGGTGTGAGTCAATATGCCACACAAACATGGTTTTTGAAATAGCTGCATTTCCAAACTAGCTATTTAGTGTGCTTTTTTTTTTTTTTTACAGCAGATTCCCTAACGGCAACACCAATCAGCAATCCTTTGTGCTATTTTGAGGATTAAAAGGGAGCAGCCTAGAATAGACCATGATTTGCAAACATTAAGCTGCATTCTACTACATGGGTGTTCCGGCTTAGCCCCAAACAAGCCATTCTAGTTTGTGAACCACAATTTATGGCAGGTGTACCATCTCCCTTAGCAATTCTGATGTGTCCCCTTTTAAGGATCCCACCAAATCACAAAAGCCTATTGCATACTTATTGAGCAATCCTATCAACTGTATATTAATTGAAGTTTAAATCTAAATGTAATTGTAGATTATACTGTCTTTGGTAGCTAGCCTCACACACTGAGATGTGGTCTTTTGTGTGCCATTTCAAGTTCAAATGCAGCCCTTGCTTCCTCAAGATTGTGCCTTATATGTGAATCAAGTCAATTGTGCAGTTTTTTTTCCTGCCTCTGATCACTCTGGACAAATTCCTGAAGTATTTTATTGGAAATAATTCTGAAATGATTTGTCCTTGCCTGCTTCCTAGGGGTCTGTGTATGTCAGGCCCAAGATCACCAGCTGCCTTTAGACCAAAGGTAGCATTAGAATTCATGGCCTTCCACTTTCTAGCCTTTAATCACTACATCAAACTGGCTCTAAAACCATGGTTAAACATTCAGCAAATAAAAACAAGCATGGACCTCACCAATACTGCCTACTATAGCTCAAATCATTTTTTGGTTTGCAATGGGCTTTGTTGAGGAAAGATGCTGAAAGAAAACTGGGCAACTTTGCAGTGTATTTTGTATTGTTATTTGTTTGCACTTCAAAGATGGCACAAAGTCTGATTTGGGTTGTCAATCAAGAATCCTCTGTATCCCAAACTGCAGCAAAGATCATACAAAATCCACAAATCCATCACCCAAATAAACACATTTCTTTCTTTTTGTTATGTTGTACTCCTCGACTTACGATCACAATTAAGCCCAGAATTTATGTTGCTAAGTGAGAAATTTGTTGCTAAGTGAGAAATTTGTTAAGTGAGTTTTGCCCCATTTTACAGACTCTTCATGCCACATTTGTAAAGCGAATCACTGCAGTTATTAAGTTAGTAAACTGGTTGTTAAGTGAATCCGGCTTCTCCATCGACTTTGCTTGTCAGAACATGGCAAAAGATGAACACGTGAAGCGGAAGACACTGCAACCGTCATAAAGCTGAACCAGTTGCCTGATCACAGGTATGATGGAAAGGTTGCAACTGTGACAAACGGTCATAAGTCACTTTTTTCAGTGCTGTTGCAACTTCGGTCACTAAATGAACTGTTGAAAGTCGAGGCCTATCTGTAATAGTGAACCCCACCCCACCCCCCTTTTTTTGAGGCCTGTTTGGAAACCTCACTTAACTCCTTATACCCAAAGCCGTCCTTCCTTCTTGCTACTGACGTGCTCGCAAAAAGCGACGGCTTTTCCACCCCCGCCGATTCGGTTTTGCTCCAGAGAGGCGGTCGGCGGTGCCCAAAACAACAGGCCGCATTTCCAGTTGCAGCAGCCACGGGGCAATGGGCAAAGTCAGGGCAATTGCTTCGGGTAAAGGAGAGCGTCTCTCGCCCATACCGAGCCTGCTGATTCTTAAGGAGGGAATGGGGGAAGACGACGTGGCTGGAAATCAAACCCATGTAACTGGGAAAGCGAGGAGGAGAGAGAGCGAGAGAGTCCCAAGAAGGAGCCCATCCTTCCTTTTCCTGGTACAGAAGAGGAGATGCTTGGCAAAGTCCGCCCCTCCGGCCCAAAGGTCCCGGCTGCAGCACGGGCGTTGCTTCCTCCCGTTTCCCCCCCCTTTTGGAAGTCGGGAGCCTGGGAGGCAGCCCCGCGCAAAACCGCCGCCAGGGGAAGAGAAGCGGGTGGCTGGTTCCCTTCCCCGGCCTCTCCCCGCCTCTTCCCTTTTTTTTCCTGGGTTTGACCCCAAGCGCAGGGCCAGCGAAGAGGAAGGCAGTCTTGGAAGGGGCTGCCGAAGGGTGGGGCCGGCGGTCTCTCGCCTTCCCCTCGCCCTGCCCCGTGGGCCGAAAGGGTTAACAAGGCAGCTGACAACATCGGCCCGCTGGCTTGCTATAAACATCTGGGGGGAGAGCCCTGGCCGTGGGCAGACTCTGAATGGCTCCAGACGGAAGGAAAGAGCGCGGAGAAGTTTAGGTTGGTATTTTTCACACTGGGTGTGTGTGTGTGTGTTGTGCAGCAGCACTAACTCAGCGGTGGTGAGTTTGCCTTCTCAAAACTTAGCGGTCTGTTGTATCTGGATTGCTGGCTCTCTTGCTTCTCTCCCCTTCTCGCTTCGCCGAGGGGGAGAGCAACCCCAAGTCTTGCGCGCCCCGTGCCGATTCTTTCTCTCTCTCTCCTCTGCCCAGTTTCAGCCTCTGGCCGATCTCCTCCTACGCGCTCCCCAGCGAGCCTTGATTTCCCCTCTGGAGTCTTTCCGGAAGCGCTTGTAAACAGCCCCTGCTGGTGGAACAAGGACATATATATATATTTGTGCGTTCATTTATTTTTGCAAAGCGAGTCTCGTTCTTTCGGTATTTGTCAGAGGTGCCGTGCTTTCGCTCTGAAGTTCACTGTTTGGCTTTAAGATATTGGGGGACGGGACGGGACACGGATTTTGTTGCTGTTCTTAATCCACAATTTTGGGGGGGGGGGGGGGGGAGTTGAACTAGCAAAGCATTGGAGGATCGAAGACGTGCACCCAGGTGGACATCTTCATTTTTCCTAGTTGATTATTTTATAACCTTGTTCCAGTTCCTGCCCAAAATTGTTACGTGGTCAAATCCCGATCCAAGCCATGGTCGTTGCATTCAGAGTTTGTAAGATTTCTTTTCTGATGTCATCTCCACCCTTAAAGAAATCGGAGAGATTTATTAGGTTGACTAGAAAAGGAAAAGGGGTAGGAAGGAGTGCTAGGTGGGAAATGCCAAACGGCGTAGCTCATAATGCCTCTTGGATACCGCTTTTAGTTGATTTCTGCTGGACCTTTTGTTTCATAAGTATATTTTTGGGAACTCATGTGTGAATGAGCCATTGCAACTTTTAACACCACAAACCTCAAGTGCAGCACGGGAAATGCCTTGAAATGAAAGGCAGAGTTCTGCAAGGTTGCCAAAGGATGAAGTTATTTGTGAGTTTCTTGATGTTTGGTTTATCTGAAGATGGCTTATATCTTCTAGTCATTTGGAAGTGTCTGGGATCTGTTGCTGCTTTTAAAAGGTCCTCTTGATCTTTAAGTCTGCAGCATGTAAGCATTTCTTTTAATGAGAAATATCTGTGGTTGCCCCACACTACCATCTTTTGTATAATATAGTATTCAGCTTTGTTAGGGTATTTTCCCACGTCATTGTAGTTGTGCTTTTAAAGTTGTAGCAAAATATATATATGGCAGGGGTATATATACACACACACACACACACATACACACACACACACAAAATAAATCTCCTTACTGCCATCTGATGTCATCCTGGTTTTTTTCCAGACCAATTCTAAAAACCAACTTCTTATGGCTATTCTAAGCAGATGTTATTTGTTTATTTTACCCCACCTTTATTATTTTTATAAATAACTCAAGGTAGCAAACATACCTAATATTCATTCTTCCTCCTGTTTTCCTCATAACAACAACCCTGTGAGGTGGGTTGGACTGAGAAAGAATAACTGACCCAAAGGCAATGCCTAAGCTGGGACTAGAATTCACAATCTTCTGATTTCTAGCCTGGTGTCAGGATGCAACAACCAAACTATGATCTTAACTTGAAACCAAAGGATTGTGGTTTAGATGTTTACCTATTTCAGGTTTAATCCTTGACATCAGTAGATCTTGTAGGACCAAAAGAAGCTACTCTCTGAAACCTTAGAGGGTTTGTTGTGTATCAATTACATGGTATGTTAAATTAGATCTGTTTTAAACACATTTTCTAAATAAACCACAATTAGCTTAATAGTACTAAGTCACTTATGGCCCAAAAGCTCCCTGCCCCTGACTGTTGTTGGTACAACTGTGAAGGAAGAAAAATTGAAAAGTTGTGCTTGTCATAAATTGTTCCATAAATCCATTTTGGAAACTAAGGCACCTCTGCCAACACTAGAAACTTGGAGGGAATTTTGCCTTGCCTACATAACTGACATGGCCCTTTCCCTGCTGGGCCCACAACTTCTTCTAAGTTAAGGTTCCAATTCTTATTAGGGTTTAAGGCAGGGGTGTCAGACTCAAGACCTGGGGGCTGGATTTGGCCCATGGGGTGCTTTGAATTGGCCCGCCCTGGAAACAGTGAAAGACTGGCCCACGGAGCTCTGTTTTCGCTAGCAGAGGGTTGCAGGAGGCTGTCGCGCAGAGGTGGTATTCAGCAGGTGTCTGACCTGTTCTGGAGAACTGGTAGCGGAAATTCTGAGTAGTTCGGAGAACCGGCAAATACCACCTCTGACTGGAGATTTTACAGTATCTTTCCCCTGCCACACCCACCAAACCACACCCACAGAACCGGTAGTAAAAAAAATTGAATGCCACCACTGCTGTCGCGGTCGAAAACGGGGCCCAGGAGGCTGTTTTTGCTGGCAGAGCGCCTTGGCCCATCACAGGCATCCCCGACATGAGTGACATGAAACTGGCCACGCCCACCCTGGCCACCAAAGTCAAACACAACCCTGGTGTGGCCCTCAATGAAATCGAGTTTGACACTCCTGGTTTAGAGTAATATATAAACTTATCCCAAGAGGATCATGGTTCTGGCGTGGTACAAGACAGTTTCCTATTGAGGCCATTCATGTGGCCATTATGTTCACAACCACTTCTGCAGTTTTTCTAACTTGACAGTGCTTGGGAAGCGTTCTGAAATGCAGGCATTAGGAAAGTTACTGAAACTGTTGCAATGTTTGTTCCTTTTTGCTATTTGGGCAATCGGTATAATTGTGTTTCAAGTGGCCTGCAAAGTTGTACAGCTTGTTCTTGAGTAGAGAATGTCTGTTGAAACTAGAGGGATGTAGTGGGGAAAAAACAGTGAGCCTCAGAGAGTTTAAGCCTGGTACAGCAAAGGGGACTCTGAACAAGCTTCAAAGTTACAATAGCACTGAAAAAATGAATTATGACTGTTTTTCACACTTTATGTCCATTGTAGCATCCACATAGTCACATGATTAAAATTTGAGCCCTTGATAACTGGCATGTACTTGTGACAGTTGTATTACCTCAGGATCATATGATTACCATTTGTAACCTTTCCAGCTGACTTCCAACAAGAAAAGTAGGTGTGGAAGCCAGATTTACTTAATGGCCATACAATTCACTTAACAAGTGCAGTGATTTGCTTAACAACTGTGGCATAAAGGTCACAAAATGGGGCAAAACTCAATAAGTACCATTCTTAGCAATGGAAATTTTGGGCTCAATTGTGACCATAGGTTGAAGATTACCTGTAGAATACTAAAACTTCCATTGTGTTTGTCTGTTTGTACCCTCATTTTAGCCCAACTAGTGCATTATACAACAACAATCTTTGAATCAAGGTACCTAAAATTCAATCACTTAAAGGAATGCATAAAAAATCCAGGACACCTGTTAACTCCTGTAGAATCTAAATCTCTAAAATGTTCAGCCCATTTTTATTTACAAAGTTGCGCATGTTGCAGCATTTCTGCAGTCACATGATCATGATTTCCAACACTGCCTTCCAGTTTCACAGAAGCCAAGTCAATTGGGAAGCCAGCAGGAAGTTGGAAATCTGCTTCTATTGCTTTTTTGCCTGCCTGGAGTCATTCTGTCTATCATTCTGTTTAGGTAAATATTGACTTACCTATTGAAGTTTGTGTGCCACTACATTTTTTTTTCTAGTTGTGATATGTACTTTCTTTAAATGACCGTAGGACAGTCCAGCATTCAGGTAAAATAAATATGGGTAGCCTAAAATTTATTATTCATTTTGGTCATATCAAACTTACTCTCAAAAGAAGACCCAATTGGTCACAACCTTGTCTAGTATTTATAGAAAAAGGAAATAATGAAAAGAAAAACCAGAGGAGCTGTGGCAAAATGGAAACAGGATGGATAAACTTACTTAGCGCCAATAAGCTGCTTGGTTTCAACAAGTCATATTCCAATTTCCTCTTTGGTTGCTCTTAGTTGTCTTTCTCCCTTTTCTCTATTCCTTCAGTTCCTTCTGTTCCTGTGAGTATTTACTGGCAATGCATGATTTTCTTGTTTCTTTTCTTATACTGAATTTTTCTTACATTGAGCTGTTATAAGAACATATGAAAAAGTATAAGACCTTAAGGGGCTGTAAGGCATAGGCAAGGGGAATTAATGATGATTTTAAAATTCACAAAATTGACTCCTGTAGATTATAGTCCAAAGAAAGTAAATAGTGTAAATTGTATTCATAGTGAATATTTTGTGTGATTCAGACATTCTTGGTTTCTATTGGAGCCTATTAGCTATTTCTTTCTATACCCAAATAATGGATTTTTCAGCCATTAATTAATGATACCCCGTATTTTCTGCAATTCTTTTCATTGAGTAAGGGAAGCATCTGGCTGGTGGCCATGCCCCAATTTTCAAGTCTTAGTTTAAATCTGATTATTCAGGCTTTGCTCCTTACTTATCTTGAACTTGGTTTCTTGACATTATTTTCCCCAATCAGCTTAGTTTTCCTGGGGAACATCTAGAACTGGAGGAAGAGAATGGTAAATGCAAATGTTTTTGAAGAGGTGTCTTCACTGCTTTAGTAAAGCCATTTTTGCTATGGCTGCATTCTAGAATCCACAATTCTGAACTGGAAAAGATTTCTAACTCATCTCTTGGAGAACAATATATTGGAGAACCAATCTATCAGCCATAATGCTGTTCGGTTTGGTTTAATTTTTGTTTCCCATCTTATGATTTATTCAGTAGTGTCAGATTTAGCAACTGTGCCTTGAAAAATGATGGGTCATTGTGATGAGTAATCCTAGGCTAAGAATTTGTCATCTCAGTGGTGACTACATTGTCATCTTAGTAGGAGCTGAAATGATCATATTTGGGTGCTGATGAAGTTATGCCTTGCATCTCAAAGTGTACAACTCTTTGCTTTGCGCTTGAGGTTATAATTTTGGATCCCATTCCTGGGAATAACTTTACTCTGAACCCAATGGATGTGTTGCCCTTTGAGAATTCCCATTGA